GATAAAATATATAATAAAATAAAGAAATATAAATCAGATAAAATTTTATAATTGATAAAAAAAATAATAATTTGAATATTCATTATCTTTTCTTGAAATTGTCCGTTTCTCTAAATGTAGTTTCTAATTTACTAAGTGAAACTTTCTTCCTTTTTTTTAATTCTTCTGATGTAGACTTTAATTCATCTAAAATATATAGAATAATAATTAATACCTTTGTAATCTTCTTCTTTATGATAGTGACCTTGAATGATTATTGAATTATTTTTTAATTCTTTAATTAAGTTATTAATATCAATAATCTACATATAAAAATCTTAGATAAGAGATTGTTTTAATTATTATCCATCATCAAAACCTTTAGTTGCTACTTCATCTTTTAAAACATTAATAAATATAATCTCTTCTTTAGTATCTAAATTAGAATGTTATAATTGGCATATATATTCTTCTAAAGTTTGAATTACACATTAATAAAATGAGGGGTTTAAATTTATTTTATTTTATTCATTTGGTATTGTTGAATACATTTCTAAAAAATCGGTTTACTTAATAACCAGTCTAATTAATTATTAAAGAATAACTTTATTTTCATCTGTGAATGATTTACATAAGAAAATAATAAGTCTTTCCTAAGGTCCAATAAAATTAGATTTGATCTAATTGGAATCAATATCATTTTTAAATTCTAAAATTTATTTTTCATTAATAGGTTTATAGCTAATAAATTTGATGCTATTGGTGGCTATTTGAATCAATGAATTATCTAACCATTTTTAATTACTCATAATTTAAGGATTTAATATTGAACTTTGATCTTTAATCATACTTAGGCAGATACCAAAATAAATCTCCAAAGCTTTTTCAAAAGTATATAAAGATTAAGCTGAAGTATTGATATAGAGTTTAATTATACAATTCATTCTTTCAAGATTTTCATTCTATTTTCTAAACTTACTATCAAACCAAACAAATAATAATTGAGCAATCCAAACTTAAGGGTTTTATAATTTATTATTTATAAGTAAACTTCCTAGACCTTTAATTGCTGTTAATTATACTATAGCACTATATTTGAAAACATAATTCATTATTATTTACATAATCTTCCATTTTTCATATTATTCTTAATCATATACCCAAATTAAATCTTCATGATATACTGAAAAAGAGTCCAATATACTTCTTAATGCAATTATTACAATAACAGGATCATATTATTTGAGTTCATATGGATTTTGTAAAAATTTAGCAAATTTAGGAATAACACTACCATCAATGTTCATTCCAAATAAGGGAATATATGCTAAACATCTATAAGATAATCTTTTAGCTAAACAATTTTCATAAAGTACATAGTTGTTATTTATTTAGACAATAATGTTCTTTAATTTAATAAATGTACGATCTTCAACTTTATCAAAATCCAATTAAGTTATTAAAGCATCTAATAAATAAAGACTATGTAAATCAATTTATTAATTGAATTCATTTAGTTAATCTAATTCACTGAATATTTATAATAAAGATTATTCTAATTATTTTGAATATGATTCATTTAATTATAAAGTTTTATGATCATATTTCTTTTATTTCATCAATTAAATTCTTTCATTTCTAAGTTTTTCTCTTTAATCACCTTTTTCTTTTATTATTTTATCCAAACTCTAAATCTTATCCATAACATTTTGTTTTTATAGTTTTTAAAACACATTCAAAATGAGTTCAATTAAATGATCTTATGATTATACTAAAAATCTCATTACTTTAATTGCAGGTATTAATAATTCATACCAACTTTTAACTATTTAAATTTAATTTGAGTTTTAAGCAAACCATTAAAATTCAATTTCCTAATTAGTTTTAAATTCATAAATATCATTATAAATCTAGCTCTATATTCTTGGACATTCCAATTATTTTTATTCACTTATAAATTTAATCATTTATTCTAATAAAATATTTTAATCTGTTTATTCTAAAACAGTCTAAAACTATAATTATAATTAAGCAATTTAAAACAATTCGTTATATTATAATAAATCTAAATCCTAATTTAATATTTCTACTATTTATTTCCAACTAGGATAATTCTACTCTATAATTTAATTCATTTATGACATCAATTTAATTTATTCCTAAGAATTCTTACTCATTTGACAAATTACCTTAATTAATGTCATTTCAGCACCACTAGTCTTATAACTTAAATTCTTTAAAGTATCACGAAAATAAATTAATAAGTTTTCTTGGTGAGATGATTCTATTAATATTTTTAAAACATCTTAAATTGTAGAATATAATTAAGGAAATATTAATGTTTTTTCAATCTCAAATAAATTTAAGAAGTTCCTTACTATTTATCCAATACCTTTATTTTATTTTTATTTTTCACTTTAATTAATCAATTGTTGAAATGAATGTTAAATATAGAATTTACATGATTCTATAACTTTTTCATTATTGCTTCCTCTTAAACCATCATAAATCACTTAATATCTATCCAAAATATTTAATTATTAAATATTTATATCATTTTTCATAAGTTTAGTAAATATTTATAATCTTATATTAACATCTGTATCTCTAAGTCTCATCAATATATACTACAATGTAAATTCATTTACTTCAGTATTTATTAAAGCATCCAATCTTAATTCATTCTTTTCCTCTTCTAAAATAGTCTTAACCATCTGTATTTCTAAAGCCTAAATTCCTTATTTCAATTATTTTGATTTTCCTTCTTCCCAAGTAATATTTTATAAATATGATCCTAATTTTATTGCCAATCCTTTTTAAGTTCTTCCAACATCCTTATTTCTTCTCTTCAAAAACAATCCTACAGTAGTATTCAATAATTCATAAGATAACTTTTCATCCAATAACTTATTATAGAATTTACCTGGAATATTATGTAAAATCATAAATAGATGTCTTCCACAAAATATTCTTGTATAATAATTTTGAGAATTCACTCCTTCCACAAATAACTTTACCATATATACAATAAACCTACATTAATATTATTAATACTTCCTAGTGTTTTCACTCTATTTATGATTCAAATGTGGTTGTTTTAATGATTATTTCCATTTCTTAATCATAAATCCTACAAATTATTCTGTCAAGGTCTCAAATAGAACTCTACATTATTTTGAAGTTCCATTACACTTTTTAATTAATTATAAATAGCATTATTCCAACTAATTTGTGAACTTCCTATAAATTATTTCAATTGTATTACTTCGAATCACCTATAAAGTTTGCATGTAAATTATGAATATGAGATTTAGTTACTTCCCCATATTCAGCAATGTCATTCAGAATCTACTTTACATCCATTATTATTTTAAATATATATAAAAGCAAAAACAAACTAAGAAGGTCATTAAGCATGGATAAATTATATATGCCATTTATTTAATCTTCAAAAATTTTGATTTAATTGAATTTCATCAGATTATATAAAATTATGTTATGCAATCACAATTTTCATGCCAAAGATATTAATCACACTAGAATCATTATGTA